AAATGTTCACATTTCTACTTTAAATAGGTTAAAGTAAACAAATTTTTAATGATAAAGAAAATTAATTGGAAATATAAAATATGTATTTCGTATTTATTTATTTTTTATTTACTTTCTATTTTATTTATTCATTTTCCCTTATTTTTTGTTTCATTATTTAGGTGTGATTGTTTTTTATATTTATATAATATTCGTACTATTTACACTGTACGTAATATTATATGCAACATTGTGTGTTTATATTTTATTATTTTCATTACATTTATCTTATTTTTTCTAATTTCATTAAATAATATATATTTAAAATCTTCGCTTTGGAGTATCGTTTAAAGAATTACTTTATACGATAAGTGGTTATCAATTTATTAAAGAAGAAGCAGTGGAAATTTTCATTGAATCTTGTAAATTAACTTGTAGTAGATGGTGTACTTAATATAAATCATCCGACACTGTAATCATGGAACAACTACATATATTCTACTCTATTTTATTGCAATACGAGGCTAAGATGAAATACCTCGTTAATATATCTATTGTCTGAAATCTATTTCCTTTTGATAGAATCAATTCAAGCACCTGTTAACAATCTCACTTTCCCAAACATCAGATATTTTACTACATCTAGTACAATTTTCGCAACACTAACTTCCTTTCACACTCCTGTCAATTCTGACATCAAATCCCATACACTCTACTCCACTTTAAAAAATTACAAAATCGTCAATCTTACATTTTTCTTCATTCCTTGAACCATTTTTTTCACGTTACCAATAACTTCCGCTCTGTCATTATTACCCTTACTATTAATAACACCATCGTGCACCGATACTTTTCGTACTTCTGTAATAATAATCTAGAAGATAAGTGTGTCGGGATAACGATATATTTAAACCTTAATTGAAAATGTACGACACGATTAATTCTAGAAATGAATAGAATTAATTACGGAATAACGACTTAGTTTTAACTGTAAACTTTATACAAGTCATACTTTAAATCTATATTTTGTAATTGACATTATTATATATGAAACTGATAGAGAAAAATGTTCATACTTTTATCATAAAGCTTATTAGACTACTTATTTATTGACTAACTTTATTCGTCTGATATTTGTCCTCCTTTCTTCTCTTTCCGAAATATTGTAAAATCAACAACAAATAAAATTGTATAAAATTCCTTGTCTAAACACCCATGTCTACTAATTGATTCAAATAATAGTGTTTTTGTCGTTATTAGCAGACTATACCACACGCGTGCAACGTGTTTAAATGCCAAGGGTTTAAACGCCACCCTCATAAATGGTCAAACTTCGAGCAAATGATATTCTTAGATATTTTTCATTTACTCCTTTATATGAAATTACCTTTCTCCAGGTTAGATATCAATTTACCGGTTTCGTGTCTAAGTCGTTTCATTTCATATTCCACAGCGAGTTTTGGAACACTACGGAACTAAGTCACTTCAATTTCACTAAGTGGGAGCAAACTGCACCCGACAGATTCATTTTCGAACGAGTGCATATAGACCGGTGAAGGTGTACACCAACGCTTAGCAAGTACGTGTTACACGAACTGAGTAGATATATACCATTACCCATTTGCAGGAACCGACAGTTTACTTCCACTGTTCGTTGTTGACTTTCTACAAATAGTGCTTCTGCGGTATCCCATTGACAACCCCTCATCGATCCTCACGACTACCGTTTTTAACGTTCAGTGTCTGCAAGAGGTACGTCTCTCGTAGCAAACACATCTTTTGTGCTTGCAAAATCGAAATTCATCTTGTTCGGAAGAAAAAGAGAAAAATAAGAATCAAACAATTGAAAAAAAGTCATTCGCTAGATAGATGACCGATCCATGGTGTAACTGATATAAAATTGTCAAAATCCAGGTGAAACTAATTTGTGGTTTTAAACAGAATTCATGATGAAATTGGTTTGTGATTTTAATGATGGTTTAAAGAGTGTTAGTACGAAGAGAGGTTCTTTGAGTTTGGGATCGTGTTTCGTGAGACAACTTGGAAGAAAGCTGGTGGTTTCTTTTTGAGCTTTGATTCTACGTATTATGTGCGATATTCTGTGAATTTTTGCAAGCATTGTGAAATTTAAAGAAACTTAGTTTTCAATTTATATGTTGCATATATTAATTTCCGTAGAAATGGAAACTTTTATTTCAGGAGTTCAGATGAAATGAAATTTTTATGGTTCAATGTACTCCAGTAGTGCTAGTCCAATAATATAATTTTCTTCAGAAAATAATTTTTTAAATAAGGAACGAGTTACTAATACTTCCGTAATTTTAACGAAGAAAATATTATTCAACCTTTCATTACTAGCATGCGTAGACTGCACATTATGAAAACCAGCAATTCCGATATGAACTGGAATAATTCCTTTCTAAATTAGGTACTAACTAAAACCATTTATTTTGAAATTATTTCACGAGCATTATGAATATTATGAAACAATGTTATCCTCTTGACTAAAAGAATGGACTTTCTAAATGAAATATCTTTTTCCGATTTAAATATCAATTAAAATTAAACAATATTTTGAAGTTCAATGGAATAATTTTATCTAAAAAAAAAATAATACCATAAATATCACAAATATCGTGAAAAAGCATCATCCATTTGGCCAAAAAATTGTAGATCGAATCTTCTTAAACCGTGTCATCATGAATTAGATAATGAATAGTACGAATTTCTCGATTCAGAATTATCATAAATTAAGCGACCGGTTAAGTAGAATAACTTTATCGCGTTGTCTTATTTAGTATCCTTAGGTAAGGTTAACTCTTTGATACAGGAAAGCATAACGAACTCTGGCACGTGCCGTTTCTCATTTCACTTCGTGTTCAATGAAATGGAATGTAATTCATTTCTTTTAAACACGTGTCGTGATAAGATTTACGCATACAAAGACAATTTCTGCAATTTATCATGTAAATTGCTTCAAATACGAGAACTGATATTTACTTTGCTTCGTATAAACTACCATTTATTTTTAATTTCTTAATTTATTTATTTTTGTTTTCGTCAATTTCGTATTTCTCTTGACATATCTGTTAATATAATACAATGACTCGTTATTTTCTATCACTTCTGTTGAAATCATTAACCCTTGAAGATAAATTTCGTGTTATTTTATAGAATTTTGGATGAATTCTGAATTTTAATCATTGCGTTTCTCAATCTCGACTTCCATTGCTTCATGAATTCTTCATATATTGCTATGAAAGATGTAAAGACAAAATGAAATAAACTTACTACGATTTATATCAATCTTTGTTCAGGTATATTCTTCGTAAGTAAATCTTAATTAGTATGTTGTCATATATAGGGTGTTCAATTTTAATATGTAAATGTACAATTTTACTATTCGAGTAACTAGATGATCAAATATAGTAAAAAGTGAATCAAAGTGAGATCGAATGGTTTCAATAGTGACATAATTTCAAAAGATGTAGTTAACTGTTCTGCAAATAAACACATATGATAATAACATGTATTTACTTGCAGCAAATCACATTATTCGTAGAAAAATCGATCTGTTCAATACGCTATTTGTTATAAAAATATGAAAAACTATTTACATCAAAAAATTGTTAGTTTAAGAAATATGTTTTGAACATAATATTGCAAAGTGACCATCAATGGTAGCGTAGGTGACTCTACGTGAAATAGAAATGGGTGACTCTACGTGAAAAAGTAAGTCGAAAATTTAAAGTGACATTTCTTCAAGAGGTAAAATTCACGCATTTGAAAGTAAATCAATAATTATATAGTGATTAATGAATAATTACAAGTGATCTTACTTACGTATACTACATCTAAGAAATATCAGCTTGGTGCTTGCACTATTATTTCGATTGGTTACTCTAGATAATATAGGATGAGTATTCAAATAAAATTCTTTATACGCATACACGAATCACTTAGAAATCGAGTTGATTAATTGTAGCTTGCAGAATTCTTCTAATTTCAGATCCGGAACGCATGACTAATGTTTAATTCTACAAAAATCGAACACTTGATATTCATAGAGCTAATCGGTTAGGCTCCCAGAAAGCTCGTATAACATAATTATTAAAAGTAATTAATTTCTAATTAGTTTTAAAAAATCAGTAAGAGAATTAAGTGACTTGTTAAAATATCGAAATCATTGAAACCGCGATACAAACGTTTAGGAATTTATAATCAGTTTAATTAGAATCACAAATAGAAAAAAGTTTCTCCAAATCATTTCGCACATATTATCGATGTTTGTTTTGTATTTATTTATTTCTTATCTGGTTTGTTCATCAAAGTCGACGTCGATGAAAGTGAGAGTTTCGGTCGGCAGGATAATATAGATAAAAATCAGTAGACGTTGATTACAGATATGGGAAAGTGTAACGAACAGTAACGGGACACAGCAGTTTTAAAACGATCCACTTTTGATTTATATATTCATTTACTTTTATTTATCACTTAGATTATATATTGCATTCGCTTTAAATGAGTCGTGAATTATTTCGAATTTTTATCGAATAACTAATTGTAATGGTTACTAACAACAAAATGGAATCATTTATGGCAGCAGTCGCGTAATACTGGTTATATCAACATCTACCGTATTTCCTGCAGATCAAGTGTTAATTATAGTTACGAATGATGATAAAAACAACCATTGCAATCGTTATTTAAAAAAGAAAGAAGAGAGGGAACCAATTCTGGCATCATTCTTGCATTACACAATGTGTATATAGAATTTTTCTAAGTCCTTTTGATTCTCAAAAGACAAAAGTTGATCGGTACAGAACCTAATTAGATAAAAATTATTAAATCAAATTACTAAATATAAGAACTAAAAGAAATTTCTATTTCCAAAGAAGCTAAAGGAGATGTTTAAAAGACGTATAAGATTAGATAGCATATATCTAAATATTAATTAACCAAAAATTTCTTATTTTGAAGAATTAAATACGTCGTGAGGTTGCCGTCTTGGACCAATAGAGATGTTGCAAGAACTTCTTTTCGTGAGTTTCCTGTACTTCGGAAGGGTTAACGGAATTCAAAGATGGGGCTCGCAATTCGGTCAAGCTCCTCTGTTGGAAAGATTTTTCTGGAGGTCATTGGACTTTGCCTATCCAGATGAAACGAGCAGAACAGTGGCGATGATGAAAGGGGAATTTGTCCCAGAGAATGCCCTACCTGTTGGTATAGAGATTTGGAGAAATAAGCTGTTCGTCACCGTACCAAGATGGCGGAATGGTAAGTTGGACGAATTTTATTTAGAATACTATTTAACGTATTTAATTCAATATACGAGATATTTTGTATCATATACTTGTATACGAAATAATATTATTTCCTCGCGGTTTCTTTGTGGAAAATCCAATTGCTGCAAAAAGTACTGAGAAGTAAAACTACATGTCGTGCAAATGATTTGTAGTTGGTTCTACTACAGAGCTCTTTGCAAATCATAAATGTATCGATTATTTCACGGTCTCTCGAGATAAAAGTTAATTACTACGGCAAACAAAAATTGAAATTGTGTCCTGTTTTAAGACTCACATGGTAATAAGCAAGTGACAGTCGCAAAATATTATTAAATTTTCGGTAAATAATGTGCAATTGAGGATTCGCTCGAATACTAAGCAGGATCTTCTCACACAAAACGCAATTCCGCCACGTAGCGTTCTTCAGAGTGAACTAAATACAAGTGTCATCGCTCCACTTGCCACTTTTCAACAAGATTTTCTTGACACTCGTTGCCACTCGAGCAGTCAAAACTATTTACACATACTACTTTCGTTTGAAGTAATCCAATGAATTCGCAAAACTTTCTTAAATTATTACTTATTTCGTGTTGACATTGTTGAGGATTTTTATGCTTTTCGAACTAACTGTTTGTTGTTATGGATTGATGCTTATTATAGTGTTAAAACGTTTCTCGTTTTGCATATCTTTTACCATTGCTCAAGATTGTAAAACAAAGAGCAATTCACAGAATTGGTAAAAAAATCGAGATAAATAGCTACAGTACGAACACTTAGGTGAACGTATATCAGCGACCGGAAGCTGCAGTAAATACAATGTACGGAAGATCACCGCGGGCAGTGCACGCTTAGTCTCGTCTGCTCGACTTCCGGCTCGCGACAAAAATTGCCGAAAACCGCGTGAGCGTTTTGAATGGGGTATTTCTATGTCTCCGTCGGCCTCCGCCTCCACTTCAACCCAAATCCTCCCCTCAGCACCGCGGTCCAGGAGGGTACCCAGGGTGAATAGGCTTATTCACTCCTGTGCTCTATTATTTCCTCACTTTTTTCTCACTCTCGCTGCTTTATGTTTATTATACACATTGGCGCGCGCCAGGCCATTGTGTGTAAAATAAAAAGTTCGACAATGGCCGCTGACACATCGTGCACGATTTTTCATATTCCGGTCCTTAACTCTAGTGATTTTCAATACTCGCGCATCTCTTCATTCCTTGAGTTTCGTTTTACTCTTTCTTTCATTATTGTCATTTTCATCTTTTTTTTGTTCCTTTTTGTTCACGTTTCGAAGCTATTATATATACTGATCTTTATATTTCTGTTGCCTCTGGATAATTTTTTAGTTCCCACGACTGCTTTTGTTTCGTGTGGAATGATAAATTTCTTGGCTACTTTTATATTTTAAATACACAATAAATATTTCTATTCAAATTTGGAAAAGTTTTTCCTCAGTTCAACGATTTCTTTTCGACTGCTCTTCCATTACTTCATAATTCTTATTTTCTCTCGTCCTGCAATCACTTCCCTTTTCCTTCTTCTCACCGATCTTCAGCTTCAGCACTCCTTCCGTTCTTCGTCCTCCTTTCTTCTTCCTCACCCTGCTTTGGTCATTTCTCGTTTGCATTTCCTTTCTACCTCGTCTCTCTTGCCAGTATTCCGAAACTTTTTCAAACGCGTCAAAGCCCACCGTAGTCGGTATTGTTTTAAGTTTTAAGTAAGATGCAACGACTGCTTTGTTTGGCTCGATCTTTCTTTTGGTGTCAGGTTCACTTGGAACGTCAGACAGAGAACATGAAATATTAGGGAAGGAAGGGAAGGTTCCATTCAGTTGAACTCGAGAAGTTGTGAACTGCATTTTTCATGGACAATACATGGAATTCTCGCACAGTTCTTATAATACAGTTAATTTTCCGACACATAGTAACTGTTTTTGTAATAATATTGTGGTTTAAATTATTGCTAATCCTGTACGTAGGCAATCAAAGAATGATATAGACACCACAAAATTAATTTTTATTTCATTAATTCGGTTTAGAAGAATGGATAATAGGTAATTAATGGTAATTGTTTGGAATGAGAATATTCATTTAAGCTATTGAAAAGATCCAAGAAAATATGCTTAATACAAAGATAATAAAGCAACATTATGAACATAGTGGAGTGTACTCCTATTTTAAAAAATTTGGTAATATATATCTGAAAAAATATACTCAAGAAGTAATTGTAAAAGCTTTAACTGAATATAATAGAGTTTACTTTTGTCTGAACAAATTTAGGAGTAAATGTTTGGAATAGTAGGAGGTTTTAATTAAAGTCCATACGTTACAAGATTCGAAAATATTTTATACTATAAGGATGAGAATACTACAAGGCGAGTTAAAAAATTAAGAAATTTATGTTAAAATAAATTTGAACTAAGTTAAGAAATCCAAAATTTTATCTTAGAAATAAAATTTTTGATTAGCTAGTTTAACAATTCATTCTCAATTCAGTCTAAAATTATTGCATAAACTTTCCGTAAATAATTTTGTTCAGCCCCATAAAGCGTAACAAAATATTTTTTCAAATTAATTCTTAATACCAAACAATAAATTCTCTCTTCTGCAATTCACTTATATACCCTATAAATCTACATAGTCATTAATTATCTCTTTATAACAGATCATCTATTCAGAACCTTATTCTTAATAAATAAATTCAGCAGTGTCACGATAAATCAATTAAATGCGATTATAATCTCAAATATTTAAGATTCTTCTGAAAATAGTTCACGACGTGTTCTGCGATATGAGGACGTCAAAAACATTGTGTGTAATGTAGTAATTGCATAATCATGTCACGCAAAGGTGACATGTTAAGAAAGTTATTCTCATTATCGCACCAGTTTCCATCGTGTAACCCTTGTATGATATTTTTGTGACTATGTACTTCACGAAATTTTTATGGTAATGTTAGGTGAGCTAGATGCATTTTGATAAATTTGAAAGGGCAGGAATACTGCGTGTCACCTACGCGGTTACTTATTGTCAGTCACGCGATTTGTCAGTCATGAAGGC